GTGTGTGTGTGTGTGTGTGTGTGTGTGGTTGTGTATCTCATGAGCGTTTCAGTATTAAATCGCTATCGAAGAAGCTTCAGTTTTGATTGACTCAATATTGAAAAGTTCATTAAAGATTTAGCTTCATCATCGTTATTATCATAATCTTTCTTACTGTACTATTTTTGTTACTAACAATCTAAAAGGAACAAACAATTTTATTTGCAGTTTCAGATTGTATCCACGCAGCTCTCTATCCACGTAATTTCAATTATGTAAACAAATGGGGCAAATTGACAACGCTAACACATCACTTTTCATTTTCATTTCTATTTTCTTTCGTTATTTTTCCTTTTTTATTTGCATTTCTTTATCTATTTTGTTCTTTTCTTTATGGCTTTCTCTATTTTTTCTTTATTTTTTTCGGTTTCCCTTACCATTTTTTTTCTCTCTCTTTTTATCTGTATTTCTCTCTTTTTTCCATGTTTATTCGGTTTTCATTCCTATTTTCATTTCTACTTTTCGTTCTTCATTTTCTCTCTTTATATATACGTATCTCTTGTCTCCTTTCTCTTTCTTTTTTCTATCTTTCCCTTTTTATTCAGCCTTCGTTACCACTACTTCCTCCTTCACTTTGAACCAATTCCAAAATTTCCCATTGCAAAATCTCTTGTAATATTCAACAATTGTTTTATTCATTCATTTACCTATTTCATCATTGGCCAACAGCAAAATGGCGAGGGAGAGGGAGGGCGGGGGCGGGGGGGGGGGTACCAAACATGCAACGTGATCAACTTGAATCAAAGGCGGATTCACACTCTGAAGAATGAATATTGCAGCAGTCACTGGGATTCGACGCAAGTAACTCGATTTGGCGCCGCACTCCGATAAACGCTGCGACGAAATGCAATCAAATTCGTTTTGCAAATGAAGGACGTGTATCTGTATGCCTTTCGACGTGGGGAGGGGGGGGGTGAGGGGGGGGTAAGTAGGGAGTGGGGAGGAGGTGGGGGGTGGGGGGTGAGGGGGTAAGTAAGGAGGGGGAGGAGGTGGGGGGGTGCGCTGCGCTGCTAAATATTTCTCGTTGTTGATACACTTGGAACATTCAGTCGCTGAAAGGTATGGGAAGCCTGAAGGAATAGAGATGGTGATATAACTGTGTGGTATAAGATGTTCAGATTAAAGGAAGGGGGGGGGGGGTAGAGGTGTAGTTTTTGTGGATAGTTTATATTATAGTGTACATGTACACATGCGCATATATATTTATACGCATACTAACATGAGTGAACATGTATTTATATTATTTTCATCTCTCTCTCTCTCTTCTCTCTTCTCTTCTCTCTCTTCTCTTCTCTCTCTCTCTCTCTCTCTCTCTCTCTCTCTTTCTCTCTTTCTCTCACTCTCTCTCTCTCATCCTCTCTCTCTCTCTCTCTCTGTCTCTATCTCTCTCTCTCTCTCTCTCTCTCTCTCTCTATCTATCTATCCATCTATCTATCTCTCTTCTTATTTCGTCTCCCTTCATTCCTTCGCTTATCGTCCTTTTACAATATCCATGTCTATATGATTAACCCTTTTGATGATGTTAATTGGATGACATTAGTGCCAGCCTCTGTTTGATATGGAAGGCTTTAAACACTCGATTCAAAGATACGATGATTTTAAATGTACTTTAGGCTTGCTTTGATGATTGACTTATATCTGGGGACTTGAGTTTAGTTTTGCTGGCAAGTTATCGCATCAGCTTTTTTTTTTTTTTTTTTTAAATCAATGTACGATGAAGATTATAGTTTAGATTGTTAGAGTGACATGTAGTGAGTGTAACATATTGAAAGGGCAGGAACTTATGATGTGAATTACGGGAAAATTTGGTTGAAAAGGTGGTGTGAGGGAGAGTAGAAAATAACTAACGAATCAGGAATGTGAATACCCTTTTCGTTAAAGGATTTCGATAGCCACGTATGTGTTCTTAGTTCTCTCTCTCTTTTCTTTCTCTCTCTCTCTCTCCCTTTCTTTCTCTTCTCTCTCTCTCTCTCTCTCTCTTCTCTCTCTTCTCTCTCTCTCTCTCTCTCTCTCTCTCTCTCTCTCTCTCTCTCTCTCTCTTTCTCTCTTACCTTCCCTCTTCCTACTCTGTCAACTACTGTAGAAGGAAAGTACGCAGAGAACGCACTGGCAAAAAACGTATTTTGTTCCCCAGTGCCAAATGGAAAAGTATGCCACATGTGTCATTCTGAATTCAGGGCGTAAACAGCACTGGTAACTGAATCAGTGCAGTACAAAAAAGCCGGCTCTTTGAACGAAGACCTTTGACTTTATTTAAGAGACGTGGGTTTTTTGGGTAGATGAGATAAAAGAATGGAGGATTAAACACCTGCTTGATATAAAGAAAAGGCTCATTTTTGTAAACATGTTTGTCTTTTTTATATTCAGGCATAAGACAAAGATACAAACATACAGTCTTGCATTATGTATAGATACATGGGCAGATAGAGAGATAAATAAACAGATAGATAGATAGATAGATAAAGAAGTATATGTGTTAATGTATATACATAATTGTAGATAGATAGATGGTTATGTAAACAGATAGATGAACAGATGTAGATATACATATGAGTATACACATTTATACATACGTGTGATTTTGCAAAGGGAAAAGCAAAAACAAAAGTAGGAAGCAGATACATAAAAAAGAAAGAAAAGAAAACGAACACATAAATTTATACACAGCGCCCAAAAGTAAATACAAGAACCACAGAAATTCTTTAAAATCTTCTGTCTCCTCTATTCGATAGCCAGCTGTCTCACATCGCTACCACAGTCTCACCGATATTAGCAGTTTCTCGCTCGGTACACCGGCAAATGAGGGTTTCGTGTTGTTTTTCCTGCGCTAGAAAGGTAGCGGTGTTGCACTGCTGGGAGAGCGAAAAGGCGCTAGGTATAAGGTGTAGCGACAATGGCGTGGGTGAATGAGGGGGTGGGGGAGGAGGAGAGAATGGGGGGAGAGACAGAATGAATGAGGAAGGGAGAGGGGGGGAGAGGAAGGAAGGGAGGGAGAAAGGGAAGGTGGAGGGAGGAAAGAGAGAGAGGGAAGCTGGGAAGGGAGAGAGAGAGAGAGAGAGAGAGAGAGAGAGAGAGAGAGAGAAGAGAGAGAAGAGAGAGAGGAGGAGAGAGAGAGAGAGAGAGAAGAGAGAGAGAGAGAGAGAGAGACATTCAGACAGACAGACAAGACAGGGACAGGAGAGATACAGACAGACAACAGAGAGGAAGACAGAAATAGTGACAGTGAGACAGACTGCCAGACAAAGAAAAGAAAGAGAGGAAAAGGGAGACAAACAGACTTACTGAAAGTCCTAAAAGATTCGAGCAATGGAAGTTTTCCAAATAAACTTTTAATGTATCGTTATCAATATTTTCATTTTCATTATTCATCATTATCATTCCCTATTAGTGGGGTCATAAGGCATTACTATTTCTAAAATTAGTACTAGTGTTATCATCAGTATTAGTATTATTTTATTAGTGTTGTTGCTCTTATCATTCTTAATATCATTTATTCATCTTAATCATAGTTATTATCATTATTGTTGTTGTTGTTCTTATTGTTATTATTATATGTATTACTATTATAATCATTCTTATCATTATCATTATCATTATTGTTATTATCATTATTATTATTATTGTTATTATCATTATCATTATTATCATTATTATCATTATTATTATTATTACTATTATCATTATTACTATTATTATTATTATTATTATTATTATTATTATTATTATTATTATTATTATTATTATATTATTATTATATATTATTATTATTATTATTATTATTATCATTATTATTACATTATTCATCATCTTATTATTATTGTTGTTGTTGATGATGTTGCTGTTATACTCATCGTCATTATTATTATCATTATCATCACTATCATTATCATTATAATTATCATTATATCAATTATCGATATTATTATCATTATCATTATCATTATTGCTATCATCAATACTATTATCATTATTATCACTATTATCATTATTGTTATTATTATCATTATTACTATTTTTATCATTATTATTATCATTATTATTATCATCATCATTATTATCATTATTATTATTTTCATTTTCATTTATCATTATATAAGTATTGTTAAAATTATCATTATTCATTATTATTATCATCATATCATCATCATCATTATTATTTATCATATCATTGTTAATAATGATATTATCATAATAATCATTATTATAATTATCATTATCATTATCATCATTAGCACCAATATTATTACTGTTATTATCATCATTAACATTATTGTTTATTATTATCTTTGTTATCATTATCTTTATTGTCATTATTATCATCATTACTATTATTATCATTTTGATTATAATTAATGTTGCTTATTATACTATCATCATCTCTATTTATAATTATTTTTGNTATCATTATCATCATTATTATTATCATTATCATCATTATTATTATCATTATCATCATTATTATTATCGTATTGATAGAATCATTATCATTAATCATTGTAGTTAATGTTTATCATCATCATCTTTATCATCAATCTTAGTATCATCAATATTATTGTTGTTGTTCTTAATTGTTATCATCATTGGTATTCATATCATTTTTACAATCGTCGTTAACACTGATATCTTATCATAATCAGTCTCATTATTATCAATATCATTGTCATCATCAACAATCAGCATCATTATCAGTATCATTATTACCATCAATGACAGCATCATCATCATCAATGTCATTTTCATTATCAAGACTATTGTCATTATTATCATTACTCTTGTTGTCATCATTACCATTATTATCATCCTCATTATTACTCTCATAATTGTTATCATTAATCTCGTTAATATAATAATGATATCATCATCATGTCCTTATAATGAGCTCCTGTCATTGAGGTCATTCGTGTAAAAATTATCTAACAATATTTTCCAGGTCTAAATCTTATGCTTTATTGAAGCGTAAA